GGATGCTTCTGTGTCAGTGCAAGTTGCACCAGTGTGTGCGTGTCTGTGATGAGTGAAAGGAAGCGTCTTCTTTGTGTCAAGCTCTGCCATGTCAAATCGAAACAACAGTATTGTTCCTCACTTTTATTTTATTTTTTTCTTTTTGACAAGTAGAAAAAAAACGTGTCAAAATGTAAAGGGCATGGTCGTGTTAAGGAATGAATTGGACCAGTAGTTAGAAACCAGGTGGATAATCTTCAAGAGGTCTGTAGCATGACACGGACCATCCACAAACTGCTGCCCAGGAAATCGTAGATTCTTGTTATGACGTGGTGTGCTGCAAACATGCCTTCTATAACCAATTTTGATTGGAAGGCAGAAGCCGAGACTAGGTGGTGCGGCTTGAAAGCGATGGATTTCATCAAACGAGATATGCCACAGATATTTGCGATTCATATGAGCCCTATTGATATTTTGACCAAGAGCCCTAAACTAACGTACACGATTGCGGGAAAACCGGCATTGGCGGCAGCGGATGATTGCAGCGGTTCTGGAATCACAGGGCAGAGAGCAGCAGTTTTGTGATCCCTGCTCTGCCAGATCGAAGCGTTTGTAGCATCGAGCAGCACTAGATTCGCGGGGGTGCCCTGGAGCGCCGCTCTCACCACGCCTCTCCCGGATGTGTTCGTGCTCCAGCGCACGAATCCGGAGACTAGAACCTGGAGCTCGCCCTGATCCGTGAAATTGAAGTTAAATCCATAGTTGTAGCCGGAGGAGTAGCCGTCGGAGTAGGTTGATGCGCTACGATTGCGCTGGATTGTCTCGCAGGGAGAGCTCCATTTCACGAACCCGGATTGCATGACGATCCGGAGCTGCGCCCCAGATCCAAAAAACGCCCAGAAGATGAGGGAGTAGGATCCGCCGGGTGATGTGAGGATTTCCGGAGCCATTCCAGCGTTGGCATTGGCATCGAGCTGTGAGTCCCTGCTGCTCATGCCGAAGCCATAAAACTTCCCTACTACTAACTCGGATTCAGCGGTGGTGGAAGAAACATCGAGCATCACGAGAAGAACGAGCATGGTGATTCGAATCGGCATGGAGCGATTGATCTAGAGAGAGCCAAATCAAGCCCTTGTGGTTTAGATATTGGAAGGATTTGACAACTGTGTAGTCTTGAATTGCAAGTTTGGTGTTTGACATTTGCACTGCCATCACGTTCTTGGCTACAGGAGAAGAAATTTATGTTTATTCCTAGCATGTGCTGCATGCTGCTTGAAGTTAAATGGTATTGATTGCTTTATTAGTGATTATTAAGTATTGATTGCTTTAAAAAAATGATATTGATTGCAACTTACTAATATATGGAGGAAATATCAACAAATAAAAACTATCTTCTTACAGTCTCAAAGCACAACTATGTCTCTTACAATGAAAACGTTATTTGGGCTTTGAATAACTTATTATAAATAAGTTTTTATTTAAACTTCATGTTTAAACATAAAAACTTAATATTTAATTTTATGACTTTGATATGAGATATTTAAAAGAAATCACTATAAGGATTAAGTCATTTTTCAAGAAACATAAACTCATATATATATATATATATATATATATATATATATATATATATATATATATATATATATATATATTCTATTAAACCATAACTATTATTTCTCAAGATATATCACAATAACTATTTCATCATGCTAATTAAAATGTCTAAATTTCTGATAAATTCATATAAGGAAGTTAAATTTGTGATTATAAAGTAAATCAATAAAAGATATCTAAATATAGCCAAGCTTATAAATTATATTACTTTGAATATAATTATATTAATAATAATTATCTCCTTGAAATTTGGTGTTGGTTGTTCTTTTTTTTCAATTTTAAGTTTGGAGAGTTTTAAAGAAAATAACATTGCATTTTGTAATAATAAATATATAACTTTTTAATATGATGTTATAAGGTCCATGTGTACAGTTACATATTATTACTAGTATGGGATTTTGGTAAGCATCAGATTAGGACCACTTGCTCCTATATATAAGTTAGGGTTTTGAAATAATTGGATATTGTATTCCATTTATATATTCCGTGTATAATATAACATAAATAGACTAATATGGTAAAAATGTAATAAATTTTATTGGTAAGCACTAAAATATAATAACATAATATTTATTCTACACTATAAATTTCTTAAGGTTTCCACTTGAATTGAAAAATATGAAACCCGATTTATAATTCTATGCTTAAATTCTATATATTCAAGCTATAAAAAAAAACAAATGCTAATTTTGAAAACCTTTACAATATAATGCCTCCTTCCTTAACATTAAAATAAGCATAATAACTGTAAATATGAGCTCTTTATAGTTGAAAAAGAAAGAAAAAGTAATGAAGAAAACTTAAAAGTAAGAAAAATATGATACTAAAAATTTATGTATTTATGTTGAATACACACACAGACACAAATATATATATATATGTAATTTGTTATAATTTTTGGGATATTGAGCATTAGAAGATATATAGGATAAATAGTTCTCAATTACCCATTTTAAAATTGGTTTAAATAACACTAATAAGTGAATATACAGGATAATTTACCTTCAAGTATTATACATTTATAATTTTATATTATAATTATACCTATTAAACATTCATGGTATATTCATTGTTGAGATTTAAATATACAATTATAGCAGATGTAAAAGTAAACTATAATAATAATGTGTTTATTGAAATTTGATAATGTTTTTAATTTAATTAATTAAATTAGTAGAAAAATATTAAATTTGATTAAGAATTTGTTTTTATAAAATTTGTTATAAATTATTTATGATTATATAATGGTAGGTACAAATACTTAGAAAGATAATTTTAATCTACTTTTGAATTGTTGTAACATGAGGATGAATTTACGTTCTTTGTATCCACTTTCATTATAAAATACTAAAGCTTTTTAAAAAGAAATTCTTTTACATTATATTAATAGTGATCATAAGGAAACACTTATTAAATATCACTATAATTTATTTAATTAAATATTAGCTTAAATATTTTTTTATAAGTCTATAATTTAATATTTTAAATTTGAAGTAAATTAAATCTGCTTGAAGAACATGGTATGATGTCTTTAACACATTATCATTTTTGTGCTATAGTTTGTATTTGTTGTGGAAAATGTTTTTTTTTTTTACTTATAAAAAATATTAATTACAATGTGATTTTGAATAGGAAGTTTGAAACTAAGATTTTACATGTTCAATACTGATACATACATATGCTAGAATATGCTAGTATTTCATTAACGTTATGTTACGTGGAAGAATGGAGGTCGTCTATTTGCTATCGTGCTGTGTGTGTTGGGCGAAGAGGTATAGGTCGCCATGGCGGGAAGGCTTGTGTCGGATTTCACACATAATGGGCTAATCGGGAATCACCAGGTACATACTACATTGTCACGATTGATCATCCTGCAAGATTTTCTTCCTGTACATGATCAGTGTAGAAATCCATGGCACCGGCGGCCACAGGGTGTTGTCACCACCAAAGCGTCTCTGGGGGCTCCGGAAAGGGCGAAAAAGATTTTGATGATGGGAGGGAGTCGATTCATCGGTGTTTACCTGGCTAGAACGCTTGTCAAGGCCGGTCATGAGGTGAATGAAAAAACAAATAGGTACTTTCTCGATGCAGTGATTTAAATTTTTCTTGTCTCTCCGCTCCCTCTTTTGTTGGATCTAGGTGAGCCTTTTCACTCGTGGAAAGACGCCAATTACGCAGCAGCTCGCTGGCGAATCGAATGAAGCTTATGCCGAGTATCAACTCCGAGTACACGCTTTGGCTATTTTTTTTATACGCTTTTCTCTGCTAAGTTTTGGCTGGCTTTGGTTTTTTAGGTGAAACACATTCAAGGGGATCGACAAGACTTTGAAGCTCTCAAGAGCAAGATTGGCGAAGCTGGTTTTGAGGTGGTCTACGATATCAATGGTATCGAGAAAAAAAAATTCGTTTATAAAGCTATATTTCACTATAATCATACAGGAAGAGAGGCCGCGGAAGTGGAACCCATCGTTGACGCGCTTCCGGATCTCCAGCAGTAAGAATCACAGTTAGTCAATTACTTCTCCAGTGAATTTTTCCACATTTCACAGGTATATCTACTGCTCATCAGCTGGAGTATACTTGAAGTCAGACCTTCTTCCACATTTTGAGGTGATTTAGTTTGCTCCTTTCGGTTTTGAGATTTTTTTAACTTGTGTGCTAATTCTCAGGTGGATGCTGTGGATCCGAAAAGCAGGCACAAAGGAAAACTTGACACTGAGTCTTTGCTCCAAGACAAGGGAGTAACTTGGACGTCAATCAGGCCAGTTTACATATACGGACCTCTCAACTACAATCCAGTGGAAGAGTGGTTTTTCCATCGCCTCAAAGCAGGGAGACCAATTCCAGTTCCTGGATCTGGTCTTCAAATCACGCAGCTGGGCCATGTCAAGGTAACCAGTTCTCATCAACCTTTGCTTCTTCTGACGTGAAAATGATGTGATCTAGGACTTGGCTGATGCGTTTGTAAAGGTGATGGACAATCCAAAAGCTTTCAATCAGGTCTTCAACATCTCTGGATCCAAGTACGTTACATTTGATGGGATTGCTCGAGCATGCGCGAAGGTAAAGTATAGTTTACAATGTTTTTTTTTCTAGAGAAAAATCTACACAGGCTGGTGGATTCCCGGACCCGGAGATCGTGCACTACAACCCAAAAAACTTCGACTTTGGAAAGAAAAAAGCTTTTCCTCTTCGCGACCAAGTAAAAGCTCCATTGTTCTTCCTTCTCTTCCATAGAAATGGTTTGTTTTTCCAGCATTTCTTTGCGTCGATCGACAAGGCTAAGCAGGAGCTAGACTGGACACCGAGATTTAATCTCGTGGATGGTCTCAGAGATTCCTACGAGCTCGATTTTGGACGTGGGAAGTTCCGCAAAGAGGCCGATTTCTCGACAGACGAGATGATACTGAGCGCTGGACGAGTACACGCCAGAGTCTAATAGAACGCTTCTATTTCCCATGCACACTACAAACCTCGTTTATTATCACTGTGAAAACTCTCTAGATCATAATCATTTGCTGGTTTCCTTCTTCACGACGTACATCCTCCTGGAAGAAGGCTCTCGCCGGTTCTCCGAGCGGAAGCGGAAGCTTGCGCGTCCCCGTGTAGCGTGTCCATCACCAGCTCGATAAACAGGCCATCGAGCTCGGATGATTTGTTGGAGATGAGCACCTCCTCCACCAAAAACTGGACAACTTCGTCCATTCGCGGCCGCAGCACTGGGAGTAGCTCCGTACACATGGTGGCCAGCTGAGCGATCTTCTTCACTTCCCACACGGGAGACTTTCTCAGCTCCTCGTCGATAAGCTCTCCACCCTCACACGTTTGCAGCACCTATACATGAAGAAAAAATCGAGTGAAATGGAAGTGGAAGAAGAATTTCCATACCCAGTCTCTTAGCATAACTCCGGCGGACCTGACAGTTTCCAAGAGAAACCACGGTGGCTGTCCCGTGATCATCTGGATCAGAAAGACTCCAAATCCATAGCTATCGCCTTTGGAGCTCATTAGAGTTCCAGTGCTTGCCTCTGAGACAAATCCAAATCGCGATTAGAACTCGCGAGCTTTCGTTCTCACCCGGTGGATCGTAGACTGCGTTGCGTACATCACGTGCTTGTGACGACGTTTGCTGTAGAAGCCTGTAGAGGCCATGGTCCGTTAGCTTTGGCGTGAAGTCGTCGTCAATCAGAATGTTGCTTGGTTTTAAGGAGCCGTGAATGATTTCCATGCCTGACGAGTGCAGATACGCCAGGCCTTTTGCAACTCCGAGGATCACTATTTTCCTCTTGTCCCAATCAAACTCTTTGCGACGCTGCCCTGACAAGACACATGGAGAAAGGCTGGATTCCAGAAATTTAATCTCAAGTTTCTCACCGGAAAGGAAAGCGGTCAAGTTGGGACCTGGAACATATTCAGACACCAAGAATTTGTCGTCTCTCGAATTGCAAAACCCCAAAAGGCCCGCCACATTTTTATGCCTCGCTCGAGAGAGAATCTCTATTTCCTTCGCGAAACCAGCCTGATGAACGAGATACTCCAGTTAAAAAGATGGCGACAAATCAAAGAATGTTTTTATCACCTTGAACTCAACGTTTATCAGCTGTTTTACAGCCACGTTGTATCCCCCACTGGATCTTCCTCGATAGACAACCCCACTTGCGCCTTGGCCCAGGATGTTTGTCTCGTCAAACTCAGCTGTCGCTAGCTTGAGCTCGTCTAAAGAGTAGTCCGTGGGACACTCATAAGCACCATTATGACTAACTGCAAAAAAGGAGCGCTGTAGGCAAGTTATAGAGTGCATCATGCGGGAAAGAAGGTCGAATAAATACGTTTTCTTGATGCAAGCTCGGTGAACGATCTTGTCGTTCGTCTTCGCCACCTTATGACGCCTACAATGGCTAGAAAGCAAAGCAGAGCCAGCACCGAGCCCATAACCGCCAGCATGGCTGTGCTGAAAGACTGTGCTTCAACGCCTAGAAAAAGAGAAAACACAGCGAGCCATACGAGAATAAATGACAATTCATATGGCAAAGATTGGTAGAGTACCTGAACAAGATTCTGAGGTACAAAGGTCGGGATTACCCTTGAACCTGCACGTTTAGCATGTTTCTCATCAAAACGTAATTTTGTAACCAGAAACTTACGAATCAGCTGAGAGCCCCTGGGGAACATTGCCACTAAGTCGATTGTATGATAAATCACTGTGACATCAAAGCAAAATGGTACCATGCAAAAACTAATAAAACCTTGAAACAACACCTACAGTTTTCTTAGCTTCTTCAGTTTCGTGATTGCTTCGGGAATGTGTCCATCGAATCTATTGCCGTGGAGATCCCTGCGAAAAGAAAAAGTGGTCAATATCATGCTCAGCGAAGACCACTGTAACCATACAGGACTTTCAAGTTGACAAGGTTTCCTATCTCCGCGGGAATTGCTCCCACTAACGCGTTTCTGGAAAGATTCCTGTAGAACAACACACAGGAAGATCCACTGCTCTAAATCCTCGTACACGAGAAATACCAAATGAAAGAATGACAAGACTCACAGATGCAAGAGAGACGAAAGCTCCCCAACGTCAGCACACAGTGTCCCGGACAAATAGTGCCCCGACAACTCCCTGTAGGATGGAAAAGGATAGAACAGAGGTTTCACCGCGTCACAACAACAAACAAACTTACAAGCTCATCACTCTTTGGTTGCTGCTACACTTGACTCCTTGCCAAGAGCACGGGCTACTGGACGCCTCCCAGCTCAAGAGCGACCTCGACGCATTCCCAAAGCAGTATTTCAGCCGCAGCAATGCAGCGACTGCGAAGGGAACGATTGAGAGAAGCAAATCAGCGAAAAATTTGAAGATAAAACGCACCGTCCGGATCGGCGCCAATGCGCGCCACCGCCGACGCCGCAACAGCGATCCAATGTAGCAGCAGCGGCAGCAGGAGATTGGAGCTTGCTCGTGTCATCACTTCCCTAGCGAGCTCCAGCTCCTACATTGTCCTCCCGCATCCTCGTAAACCCTAGCTCTTGCTGTCAGCTCCACAAAATCCCGGCCGTCGCTAATTAGCCACGTGGCGCATTACATTCCCGCCACGACAGGCGGGCATATTCGCTTTAGCCCCGGTAAATGCTGTAGATGAGCCAGAGGTTTTCTCCACAGGTGGATGCGTTTGCCCGCGCTCTCAAGAGCTGTGCTTTGGCCAGGGATCTCTCCAAGGGCAAGAAGCTCCACTCGCAAATCCTCGCAAGCCCACACAGCTATGACAGATACCTCGGGAATCTCCTCGTGGACATGTACGGCAAATGCGGCTGCCTGGAGAACGCGCGATCCACATTCGATGCCATCGTCGATCCCAATGTATATTCCTGGAACCTCATCCTAGGCGCGTACATCCAATGTGGCGGGTTCGCAGACGTGGCGGGGTGCTTCGATTCCATGCCCAAGAGGGACGTGGTATCGTGGAACGCGATTCTCGCGGCATATACCGCGAATGGGCATCTGCAAGATGCTATAAGAGTCTTTGAGGGAATGCCGCAGAGAGACGTGGTGTCGTGGAACTCGCTGCTAAACCTGTACGGGCAGAATGGCGATGCTGTCCTGGCCAAATCTATGTACGACAGCATGCCCGAGAGGGACATAATCTCCATGAACGCCATGGGCCAAGCATATGCCCAGGCTGGGCATTACAACAGTGCTAAAGATGCCTTTGATCGAATGCCACACCACAGCGTTGTGTCCTGGAACGCTATGATTAAAGTCTACACAATGGCCGGCGACACTACGATGGCGCTCCAGGCTTTCAATGATATGAAGCAAAGGGACGTGCTTTCGTGGACGGCTTTGCTCTCAGCATATGCCCTGGCCGGGCATCTGGAGGAATCTCGCTCCTTGTTTGAGAAGATGCCACAGCGGGATCTGGTGTCGTGGAACGCTATCGCGCAGGCTCATGCCCTCGGCGGCCAAGTCGAACGGGCGACGCGAATATTCTCGGACATGCCCGATCGAGATGCCATTTCGTGGACCGCGATCATCCAGGCGTACGGACGGACTGGGAGCCCGGATAGATCCAAGCATTACTTTGATTCCATGCCTAGAAAGGACATACTGTCCTGGGTGGCCTTGCTCCAAGCATATTCCCAGGCGGGAGTCCTTGACACTGCCAGTAGATTGTTTGAGTTGATGCCGGTGAAGGATGGAGCAGCACACAATGCGATGCTCCAGGCATATGCCAACACTGGGAATCTGGAAGATACTAGGAGGATCTTCCACGCAATGCCCCAGCGAGACATCGTTGCCTGGAATCTGGTGATCCAGGCATATTCTCAGTCGGGTAGCGCACCGGGTGCCCAAATGGTACACGAGAAGATGCCCGCGTGGGACGTGGTGTCGTGGACGTGTACGATGGCCACCCACGCGCAGTACGGCAGATTCCAGGACGCCAAGGGAATGTTCGAGGAGATGCCCGAGCGGAATATCGTGTCGTGGACGGCTATGATTCACGCGTACGTCCAAGCCGGAAATGTCCACCAGGCCCGGGCCATGTTTGACGACTTGCAAGGGAAAGATTCCATCTCGTGGAACACTATGATCCAATCGTGTGCCGCGAATGGCCAATGGGAGAGTGTGCTGGAGCTCTCCCATTTGATGGTCTTGGACGGCCATAGACCCAACGAGTTGACCTTTGTGGGGATTTTGACCGGGTGTAGCCACGTCGGCATGCTCGAGGAGAGCCGGTCCCACTTCCTGGCCATGCAAGACGCGTACGGACTGGCCCCCATTGTTGACCATTACTGCTGCATGGTGGACATTTTGGGCCGCGCAAAGCAGCTGAAGGAGGCCGAGGAGCTTATCGACACAATGCCGTGCATTCCGTACCCCGTGGTGTGGACGATCTTGTTAGGAGCGTGTAGGATCCATGGTGACGTGGTGAGGGCCGCGAGGGCTGCTGACATGGCGGTGGCGATGGATGCCAGCCAGGAGGAGTCCGCGCCCTACATTCTCATGTCCAGTGTGTATGCCGAGGCCGGGAGGAAGGCCATGTCATTGGCACGTAGCAGGGAGAAAGAAGCCAGCTAGGAAGGAAGCGCCAGCTCAGCTTTCTTTACACTCTTTTAGGGTTCTAGCCGCTATTTGAAAATGTGTGGCAGTTGCGTTCTAGGGCTCTCAAATGTGGAGGAAGGCGTCATGGCGCGCGCTGTGGAGGAGGGATTTCTCGCAGTTTGCGCCAGGCTACACTCTCATCACTCCAAAATCTCTGAATTCCATTCTCAAGGTGGAGAGTGTCAAGAACAAATCGGCGGATGAGGTCACTTTCATCTGGAATCAGGTACGCATTTTAGCTCTTTCGTGGCGAGCTAGCGGAGCTAGCTCGATTCGTTTGTTCTTCTTTGTTTTTGCAGTATCACATTGGCCGAGGGCATGTAAGTGCCGTGATGAGCACCGATTTTTTCAAGAGATTCCAGGAGCGCGCCAGAGAATGGTGAGAGCTTATCTTTGTGTGGATGCTTTGGCTCTGATCTTCGCTCGCATTTAGTCCCAACTTTGTGCTGCCGCTAAGAAAGCCCAAAGGCTACATCAGCTTCTTCCTCCAAGGTAAAAATCTTCCAATCTTCTTTTCTCTTGATGGTGTTCTTGGTGGAGAAGTTCTCAGTGGATTTCTTTTTCAGCTCAGATGCCATTCCTCCTCCTCACTTCGCTCGAAGACTACAAGCTTAAAGGCTCCAACGCTGCTCCATATCTCACCATAGCTCACTACACCGACTTTGCGGACTCCAAAGGCATCGTTCTAGTTCGCGGCGACATTGTCTTCCCCAGCCAGCTTAGCGACGACGAGGTTCGTGATTTCGCCCTCTCGAGAATCATCAAAGTTTTCATTGTTTCTGTGTTCTTCCAGGGAAATTCACTGCTGAAATACGCCCATTCTTTCTACATTCGTGACGATCGATACCTCCTCGTCAAGGCATTCACGCACAACAGCGAAGATTTCAATTTCAAGGACGTGGTGAGAGAGCTGGATTACGACTACGTGTAGCGCGTCGTCCTAACTTGGACCTTTAAAAATTTAACCGACACCCCTTTTATTGCTAGATGCCAGGGGAATATCCGCAGTGGGGGATGGAGTCTCGTCTTCCCCTACGACGATGGCGGGCGCTGGCGAGCGGCTCCTCTAGCGCCTTGTGAGGTTCGTTTGTAGCATCCATCCTAGACGCCCGTGGCGAGGATGAAGGGTTTTGCGCGCGAGCTAGGGGTTTCGCGACGCGCCTAGGGTTTGATCGTCGCGGGGGAAGGATTCTCGCCACGGATTCCTGCCTCAATGCCGGTGGAATAGGGTTCCAGGAATCGAGCGGCATGGCCACGGAGCTTGATTCGCAGGGCGCCACTTCGAATTCCTGCAATGGGGTTTGCGACGAGCTCACGCTGTCTCCCAGTTTTCTGGAGCACAGCTACACGCCAATGCGCATCACAAGGAGCAAGGCGTCTCTCCGGATGGCGTTCGCTGTCATCTCTGGAGGGGAGACTACTACCAATGCTCCTACTGCAGCTCCAGTGAAGAATGGGGCTAGCGTTTCCGGGAAGAATGGCTCGAATGGTTCCGTGAAGAATGGTTCCTCCAATGGTTCTTCTACCAGCGTTGTTATCAGGAGAACCGGCAAAAGGAGTGTAAGCAGAGGCTTGCGCTCGGGATGGAGTAGCAAGCCGGGGAAAGTGGTCGATGCTCCAAAAGCCAGCCAGAAGAAGTCTGGATCTACAGGAAGTAGAAGCCGCGGGTTAAGTCAGCTAAAGATCTCAGCGGGAGATGGTAGTGTCAAGCTAAAGCTCACAGCCGCGAATGATGCGGACAGTGGTCATGGTGGCGAGGATGTCTCAAGTGGAGTCACCGAAGGAGAGACGACGAGAACGAGTAACAAGGCCGATGCTCCTGTTTTGACGAAAGTGAAGCCCTCTGCTGTTGGCTGGGTTATGTGCGACGATTGCCGGAAATGGCGATGCATTTCTGCCGAGCTTGCTGATTCTATCGAATCATCTGATATTCGCTGGTAAGTTTTCCTCGTTTATCTTTCTCTTCCCTTATTGTCTATGTTGTTGTTTTTCCAGGACTTGCCGAGAAAATCCGAACAGGAAGTTTTCCGACTGTTCTGTACCTCAAGAGAAAAGCAATGCTGAGATCAACGCGGAACTAAACATCTCGGAAATATCTTCTTCCGAGTGCGACGATAATGAACCCGCTGTTAACTCTAAATGTGGAGGTATGACATGCATGATTTGGCTCCACTGAGAAATGATGTGTGCTCTTTGCAGTTTCATGGACACAGATTCGTCATAACATCTTTCAGCACCGCCATCAAAAGACTCTTGACGACGATGACGTATGCTCTTGGTTTGATATTCTACTTGTTTACGAGAGTCTTGTGTTTTTTCAGACGTTAATATGCCTTTGCAAGCCACCAAAAGATGGTAGTCCTGGGTGTGGAGAAGACTGTTTAAACCGAATGGTGAACGTGGAGTGCTCACCGGATACATGCCCTTGCGGAGAGCGTTGTTCAAACCAGCAGGTGAGTTTTGTTGCTAAAGGTACAAACTGATGCGATAATACTTCTTCTCTTGTTTAGTTTGGCAAAAGGGAGTATTCCAATGTCGCTCTTGTCAGGTGTGGCAAGAAAGGCTTTGGATTGAAGGCGCTGGAAAACATTGCAAAGGGCTCTTTCGTGATTGAATACGTTGGAGAGGTTTGCTTTTTTCTTTTCTTGTTTGCGCTTAATTTTCTCACTCGGTGCATCTCCAGGTACTAGACAGTCGATCATTTGAACTGCGTCAGAAGGAGTACGCTCGTCAGAGACAAAAGCATTTCTATTTCATGACACTTAATAGTAGTGAAGTAAGGGTTTTGATGGTTTAGACGGCTTCTAAATCTGTTCCAATATTTATTTTTTGCAGGTGATTGACGCATGCAGGAAAGGTAATCTTGGACGATTTATCAATCACAGTTGTGAACCCAATTGTCAGACTGAAAAGGTAAGGAACTTACAAGCATTCCATTCGACTGCTAAAGGTTTTCTTTTTTCTTTATTCAGTGGTGTGTGAACGGAGAAATATGCATTGGTCTGTTTGCTATTAGGGACGTTGCGAAGGTATTATTTGCAAAGCCGATTATGTGCTTGAATAACTTTCTTTCGCTTTGTTTTCCGGTGATTTAGAATGAAGAGATTACATTCAATTACAACTTTGAACGACTTTATGGGGCAGCCGCTAAGAAATGTCACTGTGGATCTGCTCATTGTCGTGGCTATATTGGTGGAGATCCTTCAAATCCTAGGGACGTTGTACAGACTGACTCTGAGGAAGATCTAGAGCCGATTATGCTGAAAGATGATGAGAGTGAAGACGAGGACATCGTTGATACTGAGGTTGTACAAGAAACACCAAAGTCTTGTACACCGCCTGAAGCATTGTTTGAGGAGCCGAAGCCCGAACTACTGGTTAAAGAGATTCCGATACCCAAGCCGAAGCCTCTGGCTAAAGTGAAGCGACCAAAACCTTCTGGCCGACCGAAGAAGGTGCCATTCAAAGGCTTCTTTTCGTCGAACAAATCTGAGGGGTACAGACCATCGCGTTACAGCGAAGGTAAGTAATGTCTGTCGGTTTCTTCCGTTTCACAAACTTCGCTTATGCAGTTGAGGATAAACTTGATAAGCTGCTTAACGATAAAGGGGGGCTCGTAAAGAAAAAGGTAATTTGCCACGTTTGTTTTTGGCCAGTTGTTTGACAAGTGTAACTGGTTCTGTAGGAAACTCCGAAACAGTACTTGAAGCTTTTGGTCATATCAACCGCGTCCGGGGACGAATCGAAAGAGGGGACATCTTGCAGGTAGAGGGTTTCCTTTTGTTTAAATGACACCTTTATACATTCGGGACATGTAGTATGCGGGATCTTTCACTGCTTTTGGATGCGATGCTCAAGACGACATCCCGTAGCATTCTAACGGAAGTTATTCAAAAGAACGGTAAGCTTAGTGTGATAGTCATCTCTTTCCCACTTTCTTTTTTCTAAACAGGACTTCAGCTGCTTCACAATCTGGTGAAGCAGAGCCGGAAAAGCTACACAAAGATTCCAATTCTTCGGAAGTTGATGAAGGTGAGCTGGATAATCCCTGTATGATTAAGGAGATATTTATACTTCAATGCCCTTCAAAGGTTCTCGAGGCACTTGCTGAGAAGACGGTTTTGAAAAGCAAGCACATGACGTCAACACCACCAAGGAACGGCATGGAAAGGTAAAAAAAAATGTTTCTTTACTGGACAATGCTTTACTTGATTGCATGCAGTTTTGTAAAATCAATATTCGAGCTGACACGGCACGACGATATAGAGGTACATAGAAGCTACCATACTGTCAAAGAGTTGATCATGTTAATGTTAATGCAGGTTCAACAAATCTCCCGCCGGTTCCAAAAGAACTGGTTACCTAACATGTTTGACTTACTCGCGAATGAGAAGTGTTCCGAGAGCCCAAAATTCTGGGGTCCAGAGAGGTAAGTCACCCTGGCATTCGTAGCGCAAAGTCCGACTCCGTGGTTTGTTTTACAGGTTTTCACAGAAAAGAGAACTTTTCCGTTCGTCGAAGCCGGAAGAAAAGCCCAGGAGACCTCTGCTGTTCAGAAACGACAGCAACGATGCCGAGGGGAAGAACTCAACCTCGGAACAAGACCGCAAGAGAAGAAGGCGGATGAGCCGGTGGGACGAGCTCCCTTCCACTCAGGATCCCGTGCCTGCTTTGACGTCTTCGACGCCCTCGACGTCAACTCCGTCAACCCAGCACTCTTCCAGTCCTCTCCAAGAGCAGGCTGTGGCTCCCGCTCTCATCGACGAGACAGTCACCGAGTTTGATCGGGCCGAGCCGCCTGGGTACTCTTCGACGTCCCCACACAGCAATAGATACGAGCAGCCGAGGAGCTTGTCGCAGCAGCACAGCCAGCAGCACTACGATCACTGCAGCAGCAGCAGCCATCACCAGCAGTATCAGTCTAGAGGGGATCACTGGAATGCTGCCCCTCCTTTCCGTCCTCCACATCGTCCGGAAGCTGGGAATGGCTACATGGGAAGACACCAGCACCACTCACAGCAGGGACAGGGATACCATTATCACAGTGAGATGCCACCGAGGGGCTCGCAACACTCTTCTCCCTCGGGTCCATATCTTCCTGGAATGCCGCCGCAGCACCAGCACCAGCACCAGCACCAAGCTCCAAAGTACCAAAACCATCACCATCATCCACAACCAGTCCGGCCACCGCTCAACGGGTGCTACAACAATGGCGCTCATCACTTTGGACCGCCGCCTCACTATCGAGGCACGGGTGGCTACTATCCGGCACAGCAGCAGCAGGAAAACTCTTACCACCATCACCAGCAAGCGGATGAAGAGCCACCCGTGCCAGGTCTGTGAGTGGAAGCTCTCGATTTGTTAAATTTTTTTTTTGCTGGATTCTACTTACACTTGATCACCAAGGCTGGCAGTTTGATTACCGTTTGTTTAGTCTTCGGGAAGAAAGGCAAAAATTTCTTCTGGATCGGTCCAGGAATAAGAATTCGCAACTGTAACACAAACACATTCAAGAAAGAAGCCGAATTTCTGTTTATTAAGGAAGTGGTTACCTTTTTTGTTTGTATATAACTTGTGACCATCGTGGTGAGCTCCTGGGGATTGCTGTGGCTGTTCTTGAGCGTACAGGAGAAACCACCACACCATGGTGTTGATCATGAGAGACCAATGTGAGACATGACACCATGGTTATGCCAGGTAAATTAAATATTTCTTTCTCTCTCTCTCTCTCTCTCTCTCTCTCTTGTTTTTTTTTCTGTTTTTTATTTTTAAACTGGTTGAGATGACATTTGGAAGGTTAATTGCATTTGAAATAAATTAAATTTAATCTTTAATTTACTAATCTTCCTATATGCCTCTTACATAAAGTGAAAAATTATACCAACTAGAAATAGAATTACGTAGGAAAGAAAGTCCAAGATTACTAAATCCTTCATATAATCAAAGATCATTGCCACATAGTATTTAGTGCAAGAAAACCTTTTATATAATTAAGGATCCTTACCACATGGTATATAGTGAAAAATCTTTAGAGCCAAAATAAATAATATTTATTACCACTTTAAATATTACCATTTGTGGTTGTTCTGCAACTTGTGTAGTAGTTGCTATCACCTATGCAATTGCTTTTATTGGTTTTACTGCACGGTAATCATAAATTATAACTACTATGCTTTGTAAATTATTTGTATCATAAACCCCATTCTTGTAAATTCTACCAACACTACCATTAGTAGCCATTGAATTTTTTTAACAAAGATGATTACCATTTATATTTTACAACCCATATATTAGCAGTTTCATGATGATTAAAGAACAAGTACAGTTGTAAGTGCTAGTCTAATTATTTCTTTATTCTCTTTTACAATATGTGTTCTTTTTATTTTTATTTTTTCATTTTTTTCTTTTTTGTTGAGATAATTTTACAAAGGCCAATTGAACCAGAATCAAATCAAGTGTATAATTTACTAGTGCTTATGTGGGAATACCTCCTAAACAAAAGTGAAAAATTTTACCTACTAAAAGCAACATTATGTAAAAAGAAAGTTTAAAAGCATTACATGAAGGGCCAAAATACACATCGATTGTATAATAAAAAATTCTCACCACATTAATGCTTATTACAAGATGTTTAGTGCTAAAGAAATTATATCAATTGGTTGTGCCACCATTTTATATATCATCATTTGTGCTTACCTTATAGCCTATGTAATAATTATTTTTGTTGCTTCTATTGTATAAACTTAAGCATAATCATAAACTATAGTTACTATACTTTGTAAATTGTTTGTTTCCTAAACCCCATACTTGTTAAATATAGAAATTTGGCCATCACTACCATTAATAGCTATTGAAACTTTTTAACTAATGGTGACCACCACTTATATATCACCACATGTATTTTAGTAGTTTTATGATTTTTAGAGAATAAGTGCAATTGTAAGCGCTAGTCTAATTTTTTCTTGATTTTCTTTTACATGTGTTTTACTTTTTTTGCAATTTTTACTTTTTAAATTTTTTTTTTGTTTCTTCTAGATTGGTTGAGATAACTTTTGGAAGCGCAATTGAACTAAAAAAAAATTAAGTATATAGTTTATTGGTGTTTCTATAAGAATGCTTCCTATACAGGAGTGAAAAATTTTATTTACTAGAAGTAACGTCATATAGAAACGAAGTCCAAGAGCATTATATGGAAGGCTAAATAACTTAACCCCCCTATATAATTGCAAATCTTCATTATATGGTACATGTTATAAAAATTTTAGTGCCAAAAGAAATGATATCAATTAATTGTGCTACCATTTTATGTATCACCACTTGTATCTGCCTTACAGCTTATGCAACAACTATTTTTGTTGCTTTTACTACACAAACTTAACCACAATCATAAACTATGGCTACCATATTTTATAAATTGTTTGTTTCTCAAACTTCATGCTTATTAAATATATAAATTTGGCGACTATTACCAATAATAGCTGTTAAAGCTTTTTAACCAATGGTGACTACCACTTATATTTCACCACATGTATTCTAGTAGTTTTATGATGATTATAGAATAAATGTAGTGGTAAGTGCTAAATTAAGTTTTTCTTGATTTTCTTTTACACATGTTTTGCTTTTTATTTTTTACTTTTTCACTATTTTTACTTTCTTTTCATTACTTTTTTTTTAATTTCTTCTAGATTGGTTGAGATAACTTTTGGAAGGCTAATTGAATTGAAAAGAAATCAAGTATATAATTTGTCAGTGTTTATATAGGAATGTTTCCTACGTGAGAGTGAAAATTTTTATTTACTATAAGTAGTGTCATAAAGAAAGGAAGTCTAAGAGCATTGCATAGAAGGTTAAATAACTTAACTCCTTATATAATTGTAAATCCTCATTATATGGTACATAATATGAGAATTTTAGTGCTAAAAGAAATAATATCAACTAGTTGTGCCATCACTTTAGGTATCACCACTTGTGCATGCTTTACAGCCTATGCAACAACTATTTTTGCTACTTCTACTACATAAACTTGACTACAATTATAAACTATGGCTACCATACTTTGTAAATTGTTTTATCTTCAAACCCCATACTTATTAAATATAGAAATTTGTTACCACTACCATTAATAGTTGTTGAATTTTTTTAATCAATGATGACCAGCACTTATATTTCACCACATGTATTTTAGTAGTTTTATGATAATTATAGAATACATGCAGTGGTAAGTGCTAAACTAATTTTTTCTTGATTTTCTTTTATACATGTTTGTTTTTTGTTTTTTAATTTTTTGCAATTTTTACTTTTTAAATTTTATTTTTTTTTAGATTGTTGAGATAACTTTTGGAAGGCTAATTAAACTGAAAATAAATCAAGTATATAATTTGTTAGTGTTTATATAGGAATGCTTCCTACACGAAAGTGAAAATTTTTATTTACTAAAAGTAGTGTAATGTAAAAAAGAAGTCCAAAAGCATTATATAGAAGGTTAAATAATCTAACCTTTCATATAATTTTGGATCCTCACTATATGGTATCTATTGTGAGAATTCTAGTGCCAAAAAAATGATATCAATTAATTGTGCTATAATGTTAGGTATCACCATTTATGGCTACCTTGCTGCTTGTGTAATAATTGTTGCAACCTATGTAATTGCTTTTAATGTTTTTGCTATAAGGAGTTTAGCATGATTATATATTGTGGATACCATACTTTGTAAATTGTTTGTATCCTAAACTCCATGCTTATTAAATATAGTAAAATTAAATAATATATTGTCAATATTTTAGTACCAATTTAAGCTGATGTAAATCTTTAAAATTAAGTAGTGTAATCAATCCTAAACCATAAAATATAAATCATGTGATCCCTCAGAAGTTGCAATTTCAAAGATCACCACTAGAAAATATCCATCATTAAGAAGGTTTTTAGTTGATTGTCTAATGGCATAAACAACAACATATAGTATCAAAATGTCTCATATGTTATGAAACTTCATATTTATAACTATTCCAATATAAAGGAAAGCTCTTTATTAGATCATAAATTGGCTATCAATGTACACCATACCATTTCCACAAAAATATTCAAAAATATTTCTTAAAATAATTTTTTTTCCAATCCACTCCACATTAAAGTTGTTCTTTTCTACCCACCTTACAAAAACAATGTTTAAAGATTTGTTCCTAATTCTCTTTTCAGCTATTGTCATCCTCTCTTTTAAATAATTGATCATGTTTGCATCTTTCTAGAGCTTGATCAAGAGCTTGGCCACTACTTTCCAATTTATCACCATATATTCTTGTATCAGCACAGATATGAAAAAATAAGGAAGTAAAAACAAAAAATGATGATGGAAGTTAGGGAAATAGTAAATGTCCTAGAGATGAACTTTAGTTTAGTGATATTTAGTTGATTAATTTTTTAATCACTACTTAGAAATTTCCAAATAAAAACCAAAAACATAAGAAGAGGATGTGAAATTGTTATATAATATTCAAATTGTTTTATTTTTATAGTGATTATTGATCGTTTGATCCAATCACTTTTCCCATGACTATCTTATATATATATACTTTAGCTAAACATCATCAATAGTATCATCACTACAAAATTTTATTAGTTAAGATACTTTACCACTAGTACCATCAGTACTTATTTAATCTTTTTAATCAATAGTGACCACCACCCATATTTCACTACCACTATTTTAGTAGCTTTATGATTATTAGAAAATAGCAAATAAGTTATGCAAACCAAATTGCTAATTGATCTTTTTTCCTTTCTTTCTTTTATATATTTTTTTCTTTATTTTCTTTTTTACATTTTTACTTTTTGTACCTTTTTTATAATTTTGCTTCTTTTTTTTTTCTTCTAATTAAGATAACTTTCAAAAGGCCAATTGAACCAAAAATAAATTAAGTATATAGTTTGCTAGTGTTTTTATGGGAATGCCTTTAACACAAAAGTGAAAAACTTTTACCCTACAAGTAATATCATGTTAAAAGAAAATTTAAAAACATTGCATAGAAGGCCAAAAAATCCAACTTCTATGATTGGGGATCTTTGCCACATGGTACTTGGTGTGATTTACATTGCCAAATAAAATGATATCAAATGGTTATACTAACAATTTAGATATCATCATTTTGGAAGCTTTTGAATTTTGTTATGGTAAAACTTTAAGTATCACCACTTTGGAATCTTTTGAATTTGGACTTATTAGAAGGTCACCCAACCTAGTACTACTCAAACCCAAAACATTTAACTTCAAAAATCCCAAAATCTTTAATTGATTGGAAAAGGGGCACACTCTTATTCATGAGTCATTTCCTTTTATATTTAAATCATGATGGAAGGTAACAGTCGCAACTCTCTTGAGAGCCCTACTTTTAATACCCATAAGTTTAGCTTAGCTAAAGCATATTGAACTGTTATTTATCAATTTCAATGTATGGTATAGTGTGACTCCCCTAACTAATTAACAGAGTCAAACATGAAATTACTCCAATACTAAATATAACTTAGACTTCTTGGGAGGT